TTTTCCCCCCCCCCCCCAATGTAGGGCTTCCCCGGCGAATCCGGATTTAGTCGAGCACCAATGACACTGGCTGGGAAACAAAAACAAAAAAAAAAAGAAACTAAGGGCAGTCTAAAATAGTGATTCTCCAAAACTCACACTTTATCGCTATACTTGCCTATAAGTCTCTAACCAGACTAAGAAGACTCTTGGCAAATACGAGTTTAATTTAGGTGTAACAACAACAGAAGAACCTACTTATGTCTGTGAAATGTATTGTCGTTACATCCTAATTGTTGTATTCTAATGTCTGCTTGCAGGTTTTCGGGAAGGGCACGTTCATTGGTTTGGCCATAACATTTTTTGCTGGGATTTGCTTCTCAATGTTCTCGCCTGCATTTAACCTAGCGACAAATGATCAATGGCATACTCTCAAAGATGGAGTTCCGCACTTGACTGTCTATACAGCATTTTTCTACTTCTCATCATTTTGTTTTGTGATTGCCATGGTTCTGAACCTCACCTTCTTATACTACCCTATACTAAATGCACCCAAGTCGTCGCTAAAGGCTTATCTCAACGACTGGAATGGCAGAGGTTGGGCCCTTTTGGCTGGACTTTTGTGTGGTTTTGGCAATGGTCTACAATTCATGGGAGGTCAGGCTGCTGGATACGCAGCTGCAGATGCTGTTCAGGTTTGTACATTTATTGATGTCTTAGACTTTCAATTAATGTATATCAACTACGCCTCAATTCCCAAGAAATTTTGAGTTGACTTTATGAATCCACTATGTTAATTTCAGTCTATCCAATCATTATAACGAACCTTCCTCCTTTGTCTGAGTTTATTAACGCTCTACAGAACTTATATAGTAGGGATAACTATTGAACTTTCCACTAAAAAATGTGACACTATTTCCTTTTAAGTATACTCCATAAAGAATGACAGCTTTCTACATTTGGAAACACTTTAAACTTCTTATTTTATCCTCAATGACATGACTTTACAGCCACTCAGATGTCACGACATGTTTAAGACCAGAAGTTCCACAAGTCCTTCTTTATTTCTTAAATTCTGTGCCTATTATATCTGTGTTGAACACACTTAGTCATTTGAAATATGTGGAAAATTTCAGGCACTGCCTCTTGTGAGCACATTTTGGGGGGTGATTTTGTTTGGAGAGTATAGAAGATCATCAAGAAAAACATATACACTCCTTGCGGGCATGCTGTTTATGTTTACAGTAGCTGTTGCAATTCTCATGGCATCGTCAGGTCATCGGAAGTAGCCATGTGTATAATAGTAAGAAACCAATATAATGTTTCGTTTGTACATATCATGTTTCTTTTTCTTGTTGCACCCTTGAAATTAGTGAAATAATTTAGTCGAACGAATGAGGAGGATTGATTTTTTTTACTCCTCTCGTTTATATGACGGTGTTTGATTCGACATAGAGTTTAGCATGTTAAATTGGCTTATGTATCCCCGAATGTATTTCAAAAGCTCTTTCTTATTTAAAGGTAATGGAATCTGAATTTTCCTGAAAACAATTCTGTCCTTAGCAATTATTCTTCTGTTCAACCATTCAATTTCAGTTAAGTTCAGTAGAAATCAGATAGTATGATGAATCGTATGAACTAAAAAGATGATTATTGATTCATATAGCTGCTCTTAGCTAGTTTAAAAACTCACAAGCCCGAATAAAGGAGAAGGGTTGTGGTAAACTAATAACCATCGTAAAACTAGTGAATCTATGATGAATCGTCATAGTACAGAATACTTTGGTCTGAGATGAGCTTGAATGGAACGACATGATCAGTGAGGATTCATATAGCTTGTTTTGAAGAAGAAATCCTTTATGATCTTGTATGTTGCGAACAAGCTTTACAGACACTGTAGTTTTGCCTATCCAAATACAATTCTGCAACTCATTCTATGTATCCATTTAAGTGCAGACGAATTGCTCTTTTTCTTCTCCTTTCTGATGATGTGTCTTAGTTCATGTGCAATGAAATTTTGATGGAGTGTGATCTGAATGCATCATTTATTTCGATTCTGCTATCGAATCCCAAACTTCCTGTTAGTGAATCCGTGAATAAAAATGGACTAATTGGCTGCTCCTGATTTGTTAATGTTGATGGTGCCTGGATATCTGGATAAACTTGTTTGAAAATTTAGCTTTCTATAATATATGATATTGGTGCAACTATAAGAGTTGTTAGTGTGTGACCAGATCACATGTTCAAATCGTGGAAACGATCTCTCATGAAAATACAAGGTAAGATCGTGTACAATAAATCCAATGCGGTCAGGTCATCCTGCGGATCTCACGTGTAACGGGAGCTTAACGTACCGAATTGCCTTTTATAACATATGATATTGGATTAAAATGTGAAGGAGCGGACAACTGGACATGTCCAATTTTGGCTTTGATTTAAGGGGTTTAGGCATATGCGCACCTCCTTCATTTTGCATCTTTTGACTCTATTTACTTTCAATAAAAGGGTAGGGATCAAATCAGGGGCACAGCTAGCCCTTCCGATACGGCTACGGCTAAACCGAGTAACATTTGTCGAAACTCTGTATTTGTCTTAAAAATTATTGAATCATTCACACAAATTATTAATTTAGAACCCAGTAACTTCAAAGAATTAGAATACTAAACCCATAAATTTCAAATTCTGGCTTCGCCTCTAGACTTGAAAACCAAAAGAAAAGAGAAAGAAAACAGGGTTGGTATCAGTCTTGCTGTTGAAGATCTTGTTGATTTTCACCTTTATCATGATCTTTGTTGGGACCTTCTATTGCCAGCAATTCTGGCAAGCTCTCTCTTACATTTATGATCGACACTAGCCAACTTATTAACATCATTGCTTTAGTAAATATTAGCACTCTTGAATAAATAATTTTACATTACATAGAATTACCTTGGAAATGGTTCAAGAAGTAAATGGCTCGAAAATATTTTAAATATTAAACTATACTCATGCAACTAAAAGACTCATTCCAACTCAAAAAGATTGGTTCTTGCTTTCTTATAAAGGGCAGTCCGGTGCACTAAGCTCCCGCTATGCGCGGGATCCGCAGAAAGGTTGGACCACAAGGATCTATTGTACGCAGTCTTACCTTGCATTTCTGCAAGAGGCTGTTTCCACAGGTTGAACCCGTCACCTTCTTATTTTTTTATAGTCGGATGAAATTTTTGTACGAAGAGAGCGAGAGTATTACATTTTTTTCTGGTTTAACAATCCGATATCGAAGCCAACATGCCTAACTCATCCAGATTCATGCCGGATAGGCCCACTAATAAGGGTAAAACACTCTCTACCGAAAAGTTCATTCATTAGAAAAACTTGAAACAGAGACATTTGTTTTAGGTTAACGGAATTCCAACCGTCTAGCACATCGTCTGTGATTGGATAGTGCAGCTTGGATGCCAATATCCCTTCAAAGAAGTACTCAAACTTCAGTTAACAGGACTTTAATCTCAGCCTGTGATTCAGTAACTTTAGCATCATCTCCAATGGGATTCCAATACCAATAATTCAAGCAACTTAGCACTCTTGTTTTGTCATAAATAGTGCTCTCTAATATAATAAAACAATGTATATATATGTGGAATGTGCAATGAGTATCTTATTTCATGATCTGAGGGACATGTACTATTTGAAAAAGTATACAACAGTAAGGCTAGATTATTCCCTTTTATTGTCATCCATCACAAGTGCATCTACACAATACCAAATAATGGGAAATCTCAATCGGAATAAAGTCATATTCTAGTAATGATTTCAAAGAAATAAAAGTGTAGGATCAGTAACATATCATATGAAAATCTTCAGATTCTGTAGAACATGTGATGAAGAATTATATTTTAATGGTTGAAACAAGTTATTTTGTAAAACACGGTTAACGTGGAGTGTTTCAAGCTTACTAGGACACATGTAGTGGATGGTTAAAAGATTTAGTGGAAAATAATCTTTTGCAGGAAAAGGACTTGCACTTCAAGGAATGAGAATATGGGTAAAGTTTTTCAAAATATTCAGGTCAAATGAAGTTCATAGCAATGAATATGTTGCTTCCTCCAATGGAAGCCACACATCCATCCTCTTTTTTTTTTTTTTTGGAAATGGTAAAAGTTTTATTAATAAAGCTACCAAGATGGTACAAGTACAAAAAACATAGCAAAGGCAGATAAGATCATAACAAAAATAGAACATATTATAGGAATTGTAATTTTGCAAAGTTACAATGAACGTTGAACACGCTCTAACTTGCTTTTAATGATTTATAACAATGGAGTTTTCTTTTCTTTCGGAGTTGAATGGTAATAGGAATTATTGAATGGTGAGAATAAGAGTTTGTAGGATATGGGATTCTATTAATGTGAGTGAGAGCCAAATTAGCTTGGACATCATTTATAGATGAGAAAGTAATTTAGTGCCGATTTCTTCTATTACATTTTGTAATTTTTAATGGGTGGACACTTCTAATTTCTTTTCTTCTACCAAAATAATTTGATGCATGCTACAATAAGAAAAAACATCAAGTAAACATGTACAACCACGTATTGATTGAATGTTTGTTGTTTTTTACCAAAAAAAAAAAAAGTAAAAATAGCACGGTCTAGCCAGTTTTCGGACTGGTCATTCAAAAATAGTCAACGTTTACCAAGTCAATAAAAAATAGTCATTATTTTGCTGCAACAGAGAGCGGTCCAGCATAATATACTAGAGTTCGATGCACCTGTGTATGAACTTCCAGCATATTATGCTGGACCGGTATACTTTGCTGGCTCCAGTATAATATACTGGAGGCTGGAGCACCGGTGCTCCAAACTCCAGTATATTATGCTGGACCGATATATTATACTGGAACTCCAGTATATTAGACTGGAGTTCCAGTATAAATATTATGATGGAGTATTTTTCCAGATTTTGAACAGTGTTTTCGTTCAGATTTATCTTTACATGAAAAGTGGCTAAATTTCGATTACTTTTGAAACTGGACTATTTTTGAACAACCACTTGTAAATCTGGGGCATTTGCATCTATACCTGCTTTTTGGGTCACGTTTTAACGTGTGACCGTTTTGCAAAAAAAAATTGCAAGCGTACCCACTTTTTCGCGTAACTTCAGCATACGGGACTGAAGTAGCAAAGGCAATCACGCAAAACTTTAGCATTCTAGTAGACGGGACTGAAGTAGCAAGTGTGATGAACCAAGTGTGCTGAAGTTTTTGTTTGTAATTGCTGAACTTAAGCATAATAGCTGAAGTTTTGTTCTCTATTTGCTGAAGTTTTTGTTTGTAATTGCTGAAGTTTTTGTTTTTGTAACTAGCGAACTTCAGCTCTAGAGCTGAAGTTTTTATTTTGTAACTGTCAAACTTCAGCTCTAGAGCTGAAATTTTTGTTTGTAACTGGTGAACTTCAGCTCTAGAGCTGAAATTTTTGTTTGTAACTGGTGAACTTCAGCTCTAGAGCTGAAGTTTTTGTTAGTAACTGGCGAATGAAAATACAGGTGCTCACTAACTTATGTAATCCTCTTGGTCAGATTCCTCCAATTTGGTATACTTCTTAAATACCAAATTGATGAACTAAAAGGTTTCTATCTCCACTGGAACATATTTAATGTTGCTTTTTATTCTTACTCTCTGAAACTCATTTAATTTTCACGAATTTGCTAGTATTTAATTTAAATAACTTAGTTTCATTAATGGTTTGCTTTCTTTCACTATACTGACCAGTGTATCGCTTTTCAGCAACTATGACAAAAATTATTAAAGAAATGTTGCCCCCAGATGTTCGTGTTGCCCGAGATGCTCAGGATCTTTTGATTGAATGTTGTGTAGGTAAGCTGATTCAAATTTGTCCAAGAGGAGGAGAATGATGAGGAGAAAGGGGACTGAAATTGTTTAAAAAGTGGATACAAGTTAAAACTTTTTAAAAAATGGGTATAGGTTAAATGGGGACGACCAAATAGGGCGCCCCATGCAATTTTTACTGTAAATCTCACTATTTTTTAATTTCTCCCAAAAAAAAGTTTAAGGTTATTAAAAGTGTCGGTGATATAGACCAATTAGGAGTAATTTTAAGGGGAGAAATTCAAAAATAGCCAGATTTACAAGTGGTCATTTAAAAATAGCCCAATTTCAAAAGTAATCGAAATTTAGTCACTTTTCATGTAAAGATAAATCTGAACGAAAATACTGTTTAAAATCCGGAAAAATACTCCAGCATAATATACTGGAGTTTCAGTATATTATTATACTGGAACTCCAGTCTAATATACTGGAGTTCCGGTATAATATACTGGTCCAGCATAATATACTGGAGCCAGCAAAGTATACCGGTCCAGCATAATATACTGGAGCCAGCAAAGTATACCGGTCCAGCATAATATGCTGGAAGTTCATAAACAGGTGCACCGAACTCCAGTATATTATGTTGGACCGATCTCTTTTGCAGCAAAATAGTGGTTATTTTTCATTGACTTGGTAAACGCTGGCTATTTTTGAATGACCAGTCCGAAAACTGGCTAGATCGTGCTATTTTTACAATTTGAAGAAAGAATTACAGCTCTTGTCACTTGGCCCAAGAGCCCAACCTAAAATGGCCTAGGTTTAAAGTCCTTACCCGATTTGGCCCAGGTTGTATAAAATTTGAAAGAAACTTTTCAACCTTTAGCCCATTATTGAATACGCACTTCTAGGTTTTTTTTTCTTTTCTTCTTTCTTCTTTCCCAGAATACTCAATCTCTCCCCACTCGCCGCTCTTTTCTTTCTCCCTAAAAATTACAAAATTATTTTGTACACACTCGTGTTAATTGCTTTTGAGCACAAGGGCTCTTTAATCCTCACATTCTATGTCAATTAGGTTTCGAATTTTGAGTTAATTGATGAAAAGAGGTTAAGGACCACAATAAATTTGGCATGTCGGTCCAGAAATTATTAGATCTGGCTTAAAACTATAAGATCTTGCCTAGAAGAGTATCTCCGATGACCTCGTCTCGTATTTTCTTTTTTTCTCAATTTTTATATCATCCTTTGCTACAAGCCCAGATTTGAATGCCAAAACCTCGCCGGGAAAATTCAACACCAGCAACCACCCAAAAATACAAAGTAGTGAAGGATAGAAGATGTTTTCTAGTGTAAATGTTGTATGGGTAATGTTTATACACACTTATACAATATTGTATAAGTATGTATATCTGCATACGATGTTGTATAAATTATTTATATTTTTAATGTATAAGTGTATGTATACGTTGTACATGTATAATAGGCATCCATAGAAGTTTGACACTTTCTTCTCTTTTTCTTCTTTGTCTTATTTTTCTGGTATACATTATTAGAGATTGTATATACAAACTTATACAAAGTTATACATAACTATACACACATTCAGTTAAATCCAAAATTGAAATTTTCATATGTTCAATTTTTAATTTTTCTAATCTATGTATAAATCGACTTTCTTTGTTGATTTATCTCCCAAATCATGTGCAACAATTTTTCAAATTTCATTTTTATTTCTGCTATTTGGAACTTGGAAAAGAATAAAATTTAAGGTTCTCGAGTTGCATTATATATTAATTTGCTTTTTTGTAGATGGAATAGGAATATATACAAACTTGGGGAAGAAGAATAAAAGTTACCCAATTTTCGTGCTTGAAGATCTGTTGAATAAAAAAATAATAAGAAAAATGGTCAATTTTCACACTTTGGCCTATTGTAGCCCATTAACATGGGCTAAAGATTTGCAAAGTTGTAACTGAATTATTCATTCTCCCTAATTTTAAAATTAATTTCTTGGTCTCAACTTCGTTTAAGTGAAAAATGAGAATGAAGACATGGTTAAAATTCTCATAAATTGATTTCAATTTAATAAACTAGAGATGATTGTCGCAATGCTGAATGATGACACAAACTTATCAAGTATTTTATTACTATTAATGTTTGTCGCAAAATAGTTTTATGTATATGTACATATCATGAAAAGTTTTAACATGATTATTTTTGTTCCCTTATCCTAGATGTAGTTGGTTGTTTACGTGGAATTGGTGATATGGAGGCGTTGGATATAAATGGAAAATCTAAGTTGTAACTGATTAGTAACCACTTATCTCATTTTATATACTGTTAGTTATCTTCGTCCAAAAAGATGGATTCACAATTTAGAAGGCCCAACATTCATAAATTCCATCAGTAACAACATCCAACGCTTTTCATATTACCAATTCCACGTAAACATCCAACTATATCTACAAGACTGAGGGAAAAAGTAGTCATATTAAAATTACAATGATATATACTTTTCATATAAAACTATTTAGGTACAAACATTAATGTAATAATATGTACCTGTCAAAACTGTATTGTTGTTCCCCCTTGAATCAATCATCTCGGGTTTAACAAATTGGAATTTGTCGATAATCCTAACAATATCTTCATCTATCTCCCAGGCGAAGTTGTGACCAAGAAAATAATTTTAAAATTACTCCTAGTTGGTCTATATCCACCAACACGTTCAATAACCTTGAAGTTCTTGATAACAAACAACGAACTTTCACTCAACATGTACCTATACCGATTTACCTAACTTTTTCTTAATACAGCACGCATCAAATTATTCTGCTAAAAAGAATCCGTAAGTGTCTAACCACTAAAAAATACAACAGAATGTAAAAGAAGAAGAAATGGGTATTTAGGTACCTTGACGTCAATAAAATCATGTCTAAACTAATTAACTCTTTGTTTTTCTTTGCATTAATAGAATCCCACATCCTACAAACTCTAATCCTTACAATCCAACTATCCCTGGCTATTACTACCTGACTCAGAAAGAAAAGAATACTCCATTCTTTTAAACTACAAAAGCAAGTCAGAGAATGCTCAATATTCACTTCAACTCTATATCGTGCACAAAAACATAGTAGAGAATATGAATAAACATTTGAAATATCATGCATTAAAAATCCAGTGTAATTAGAGAACATAAAAATGAAGCAACAATGAGGAATATGGAAAGAACAAACAGTTTACAGAACAAACAGTTAGGAATATGAAAAAACATTACAGCTAGAAAAAGAATGTTGGATTTTGATTTACAAAACCTGTCCAAAAAAACAGAAAAAAGAGAAAAAGTAACTGAATGAAGGACAAATAGAAACTTCATTCAGACTCGAGAATAAACGATGATAAAACAATGAAAAAAAATGCAGGTCTACTATAGATATCAAACTTTTCATGGTCTATAACGAAACAAGCTTATTCATTGCATAAAAAGGTGAGAACTCAACTGAAAGAATCAAATGTATCTCTAAATTGACAAATTAATAACATCCAAGTGCAATACAAATGCAAAATAACAACCCAAATACATCAATTTCAAATACCAAAAAAGGAAAGAAAAAGAAAAGGAATCTAAGAAATATCTCTAACAAGGACAAAGGGTAATAGGAAATACCAGCACTTATCATACCTGGAGGAGTCAGGTCGCCCTTCAGCCGGAGGATTGGCTCCAAAATTTAAAGCCTAATTTGGAGAAGAGTTGGCTCTCACTCCTGCCAGGAGTCGCTATACAGTGAACGCCCTACTTTGGTTTTCAATTTTCAAATTTTGCAGTGAAAACCCTATTTGGAGGTGATTTTTGCGCTGTAGGAAGAAAATGGCATTGACCTATATACATACATTGTTAGGCCAATTAACAATACCGCTAAGATGTATAGACAACATTTCATTGCAAATAAAATATTCCTTCTTAAAACCAAAATCTCCCGTTAGTTGGGGCACACCTCAATGGAATCTCCACTCAGGCTTATGAAATAATGCCATAAATTACAATACAACTTTGATCTCAAGAATAGCTAGCACCTTTTAAAATTCCAGTAAACAAAAGTTTCTCCAAGATCTCAGAAACTATGCATCAATTGCTATCCTTTGAAGTCACAGTATGTAAGCCAGGCTAAACTGACTGGTTCTGATACTTCACATGTAACTAAATAACTCCTCTTGCCAAATAAAATCTCCTCTCTTTTTAAGGTTTACCTTCTCACTGTCATTGAAGATCCAAGATATACCAAATGATGACTTGAAATCACCCCGGATTGGAACTTGAAAGCACATGTTTCTTAAAATTACTTTGTGGTTCCAGAATTTTCATCTCATCAATATTCGATAACTTTAAGTTCGTAAAACATTCTAGTCATGTTTGCCATCTGAGTACTCTACTAGCCAATTTGCTCTCCAAACAACTGATGATGATAGCAGACGCTCAGTCTTCCATCCTGATGACTGAAGCTGCGACAGTGAATTGTGAAAGAAACAAGATAGTTAGTTCAATCTAAAACACAATGCACAGCTCGTAGAATTAATGGACAATTTGCCACGAGAAAATGGGCTTATATGTGGGTAACTTCTTAGTGGCGTTTGCACATGTCATCTTAGACCAGTCCAAAGCTTTCACTTTCAGATACGAATATTAGCTTATGAACTTTTTTGCATTGACACTAAATGGATTGTCCACATATTTAGGTGGTGTTTTCTTCAAAAAAAATCAAAGGAAATCTTTTGGCAGAAACTTGATACTGATTAGTTGACTATGATTTTAGAACTTATAAAAGCAGTGAATATATCATGAATTTCCTCCCTGAAAAAGAGCTCATGGAGTAGACAAATACCTTCAGAAGAAAAACTTCATAGTGTTTATTCATCCATGATTGGCTCTCCAAAGACATGGATCCACCTTGATCACCTAGTTTTGCCATGACAAGCGCATGGATGAATGATTGCAATATATCAGCTGCGGTTGAATCCTTATGAGTAATAATGTTGATAATATCCCTTTCTTGTTGAAGTAAATACTTTGCTGAAAAGATAAGAGAGAATGTATAAGTGAAACTCTTAGGTCAAATAGCCTAGCTTGAAAAAAGTTTAACATGTCTATCAACCTTTCTTGTGATTTGATCCAGCAGATTGTAAGAGGTTGACCCTATCGATCAAAAGACAATTCGTTATTCAACAACCCAAATATTCTTCTCTGCTAATACCACGTGCAAGAAATATGGGTGCAAATTATTAATAACAAAGGTGAAAATCTCACATAGCAAGGCTGTCAAGTGAAGAAACTCTGACACCTAAATGTACTCGCTTGTATAGAGAATCACTGCCTTTTGAGGTCAACGAGGACAGCCGTGAAGGTAGAACATGCTCCATGGAGGAGACCTGCTTTGGAGAGAGAACTGGAACCAAGGCGTGAAACCTCCAGATTAGCAACCTTACATTATTGGACATAAAGCTCAAGATTTACATAAACTTTTGTGCATGTCTAGTCAACGACTCGTGTGAAACATTCAGCACACACAGGAACTTTAAATTAATAGTTCAATTGCAAAAGATAAAAGCAACAGAATATTTGGGCCATTTAAGCATCGCAATACAACGTCATAAATATTCCTACTCAGATGATATTCTAGGAGATAGATACAGTTATCCATTCTATGACTATGAAAATATTAAGTAGTTCAACTCACCTTGGCCTGTCTTGAAGAATTGTGATAAAACAATTGAGCATCTTTCACAGTTCAGGGTATTCAGTGAAAGACTACAGACAGCCATATAGTTCGCTGTCAGATACATCAAGTTAGTACATTTTGCATTAAGAAAGCTTCGGCATTGCACTTTAAAACTCATGGAAACAGGAAATTGAAAGCAAAGCATAACTAACCATACATATGGAATATAGTAAGAGACAAAAAGGATATCCATATGGCAAATGAGTGGCCACTTGTGATGTGTGCAAGAAGCATTCCTAAAGCCATCCCAAACATTGTAGCAAGAGTTTCTTGGCTTCCTTCCTATCAGAACAGGGAAAACGGATACCAAGTCTGAGTAAGTGGAATTTTGCAATTCTTTCGCCACTGTAATATCTATCACAATACCTTTGCAGCTATATCTGCTGCATTGTTTTGAAGGGCAAAGTGCTGTGTCAAAGCTGCTCTAGTGGCTCCACTAGCAACACCAGCTAAATCGAAACAAATAAAGATGATATTTAGAAAATCAGTCCTATCATTGTGGTATGTTTGGCCTCATTAACAAGAAGAAATCATCTTCTATTAAAAGAAAAAGCTTCAAGGTCAGCCAGCAAGGTTAAAAATATGCTTCAGACTGCTTAAAACTCTTTCCCAAAATTTACCCAACATCTAAAATGGGTTGAATTAATTACAGACCATAAAGCTACTGCAATTGAAATTTCATAATATTATAGTCAGGAGGACAAACAACTAAAGCAGCCAAGGAGAAGAAACTGAACAACTATAACATTAGAGCAAATAAGTAAATTACACTTTGAAAGTATTTATCAGGTAGATTAGTTGAGAAGCTTAAGTCCATAAGATTTTACAATCTTCTGTTGCAACACTGAAGACCAACATATATATGTGTAAGAGATGGGAAAGGACATGGACCATCTGTCATTCACCGCAAAGTTGTGAGTAACCTGCAGACTTTGATGCTTAATCTATTTTCCATCTGATGCATTACCCCAGCTCTGTTATAGCATTATTTGGAAGCTGGAAGTCAAGAGGGGATGGTAAGAGAGTCCACATGCAATTTGTGAACTACAAGGAGGGAAAGAAATAGAAGTCTTGAAGGAAAGGAAAGTACGTGCTGCTGCTGCAGATTATCATGCTAATTTTTGTGTGTTTCGCTCGAAAAGACTCTCCAACCTATAAAGATGATTGGACTGAGTTTGCAGAAGGAACTCTTGCGCGCGGGATTGTTCCTTCTTGTCAATTAGATCAATCAACTCATCTGACAAGGAAAACGATTTTATAATCTTCAGTAATTGGAAACACACGTGGAGGTGAAAAGTTCGTTCATGGTGACTGGGATAAAGGAAACTGATCAGTGCTGATGCTAATTTCCATTAGCTTGGTGAAAGAAATAGTTCAATGAATTTATAGATGCCAAAGTTCTTGATCTTAGATAGGACTAGAATGAGAAGAATTATTGTCTCTGGAACAAATGCTTATGTGAAATTTAACTGTTTTAGGCACTTTAACAAAGATATTGATGTGAAACAGGAGATGATGCATCTCTCCAAATTTTTTGGATGACCACACGCTGTGAGAGACTACTTTCAGGACAAAATAAGCTTTATATCTATTTTGTGTCTTGCAGTAAGAATGATTGAATATAATAGTATCTTCCTTTTAAGTTGTGTTCCATCTTAAATATCTACAACAAAGATTCACCTATATAATAAATCAAGACACAACAGATCAACATAGTAAAGGTAGCATCTTTACATTGAATTACAAAGCACATTAGTACTTTCGGCAAGGTGAATGATCTGATATATCAGACAATTCACGCTAACAGCCCCAACCCTAAAAAAGAAAAGACATTAGACAAACAAGTTGAATACTAGACACAACCAGACAAGAAGTTTACACTTTATTTAGAAGATAAGAGAATGACATTGCCACTAAGAGCAGATATTTCACTTACTGAATGACCTTGACAAACTCCCCAAGCAAACAATGAACACAAAGGCCGACGGAAATAAAGGAGACACAAGATCCATCAACATTCCTGCAAGAAATACAAATGATTTTATTGTCATTGCATCCGTTTCAGGAATGACAACAAAAGCATAAATCAATGTCATTTAACCTTCTAAAAAACGTTTTTCATTATAGTAAAATTATTTTTGTTGCATTTCTAAAATCTAATAAATCATTTAAAATTACAAACAATAACAATACCTCCTCTGTCTCAATTTACATAATACTCTTTCCTTTTCAGAATGTCCCAAAATGTTTGACCATTGAATTTCTATACAACTTTTAACTTTCAAATTCGTTAAACCGTTCAAATAAACTTTGATGTGATCTTCTCTATCAAACTATCTTTTCTACCATTACTTTACTATTTTTTTTTTCTACGGCCACGAAAACCAAATGCAAGTCAAAGAGAAAGTCAACGAACATCTTAAACTCCGGCCACTGGCCAGCCAAAAGACTGAGAAAGGAAATTCTTTTTTATGTAATTTCGATGCAAAGCGCACACAACATACAGGTGAAAGGGCATACCAAGATCATTCATGAGATCTGCCACTAAACGCCACATTTTGGCATTACTGTCTAAATTAGAACCCTGAAAAAGAAAGCAAAAGCAAGAGTCATTTTCCAAACAAGTACTTATGATTCAAAAATCATTAACAGGAGGCTGGTAGTACGAGACATGTCAAAAATATCACTGTCCCAAAGAATGTTCTATTTCGCCCCATATATGCTGCCATGGTAACTTTCTTCTAGGAAAGAGATCATCATTTCCTTTTCTTTATGGAAAAGGAGCATCTTTCTGGCATACAGTTTCAAGTGGAAACAGAAACTGGCATAAATGTAACTGATGGGAAATCATTTATCTTCAGAGGAATGAGGTGCTTGTGTAGCTTCAGTCTTCATAAAGAATCAAGGCATGCATTGTTTGACACAATAGGATCAAGACGATACCGGAAAATTAAGCCAGAAAAGATGAAATAAACCTGGTAACATGTGAACAAGACGCCTCCAACCATACCAGTTAAATCTCGCAAGAACCACTGAAATTTTTTAAAACCATTGTCATCACACTAGTTTAAAACATAAATTGCAATGGAAAAGAAAGATGTGAACTCACTTGAAACGTTGCCCCAATAACAGTAGCGGATTTCTCACCAACACCTATAGCACTTAGAAGAGCCTATATTTGTTTGAGCAAGTAAATTAGCCTTTCATATCATAAGTAACTCACATTAACACTAATATCCTCTTACTTGTNGCAATGGAAAAAAAAAAGATGTGAACTTACCTGAAACGTTGCCCCAATAACAGTAGCGGATTTCTCACCAACACCTATAGCACTTAGAAGAGCCTATATTTGTTTGAACAGGTAAATTAGCCTTTCATATCATAAGTAACTCACATTAACACTAATATCCTCTTACTTGTGTAGAGAGCATCATCCGCACATAGGTAGAAAGCCCCTGCAGCAATCCAAATCATTAACAATAACATGAAAAACAAAGAGATCTGACAGTGCTCAACACATTCAGAAACTGAAAACAAGTTTTACCAATTATAGGCAATATATCTTAACCTGCAATGAGTCCCACACTTGAAAAGGAACATAGTCTGGAGTAACACTACTTGGAAACCCCTACAAATAAATTGGAAAAGAAATTAGAAAAATCAGACAGAATTGTTGATACCGGTGAAATGCCCTCAACATTTCTTACTCCAAAGAGAAAAAGAAACAAACGAACCTTATAAATCTTTTCCTTAAAAGTCGATAAAGATTAAATCTTTCTAAGCTTTTCCTTTTACTCCACTCAATCAAATATTAGAGAACTGTTTATTTAACCTTATGCATTGTTTCCTTAGAAAATAATAAAAATCAAATCTTTTGAAGTTCTTTCTTTACCTCCATTCCTACAGAACTGTTCCATCTTTGTAAATCTTCTCCTTAAAACACCAAAAAAGATCAAAAAATTTTCAATTTTTTTAATACCATTCAGCTAAATTCCAAAACTGATTTTGCTCCATTGACTATTGTTACAATTCAACAGAGCTAATTAACGGGTTCGTTATCTGGAAAAAAAATTATGGTTTCTTGATAAGGTAAGCAAAGTTTATGATTCTTTTCCTTAGACAACACAAAAATTAAATCTTTTTATGTTTTTGCTTTTACTCCATTCAACCAAATGTTACATAACTGTTTATCTAACCTTATGCACCATTTCCTCAGAAACTAATAATAAAAATCAAATCTTTTGAAGTTTTCTCTTTACCTCCATTCCACCAAATATATGAGAATTGGTTCATCTTTGTATTCTTTTCCTTAAAACACCAAAATTCAAATCTTTTTCAAATTTTTAATACAATTCACAGAAATATTCCCAAAATTGTTTTCGCTTCTCTTGAATATTCTTCCACCTTTAAACAAACAATTCAACAGAGTTACTTAATGGATTACTTATCAAAATAACTTTATAATTATTTTTTATTAGAAGGCAAACTTTATGAATCTTTTCTTTTGAAAATCAATAAAAATTAAATCTTTTGAATGTTTTGCTTTTGCTCCACCAACCAAATATTACATACGTAATTCTTTATCCAACCTTATGCATCATTATCTCAGAAACATAACAAAAATCAAATCTTTTGAAATATGTAACCAAAATACATATATAAGACAAATAAACACTTTTGTTTTTCACAAATAAACTAATTATATCAAATATGTTTGTGCGAAGTATATAAATAAATTTTCTGAGAAAACTTTCAGACTGCTAATATTAATTAATAGAGTAGAACTTGCCTCGGGAACAAAAGCTTGGAGAATTCGTTGAGAGATATGAGTGAATGCATTACTTGACCTTTTGATAGAGATTGAAGATAATGACGTGGCAGTTATGGTGGCTGTTTTTGTGAGTTTAGTCGACGAAGTTCCGTTCCATTCTTCGATCACCGTCGCCGGCGGCGAAGTTGAATTTTCGTTTTGATCTCTCTCCATTGTGTTCGCCGGCGAAGTCAAACTGAAAGTCTTTGTTTTGCTCCTCCGAGAAAATAAATTACTAAATAGTAATAATAAATAAATAAAAGAAAAAAGAGTGAAAAATAAATGAGATTAGAATAAAACAAAAAAAAAAGGAATTACTAGTGACATTTATACTATTCTTTATGGAGTACTTTATTTTTCTTTCTAAAAAGTGAAATTTGGCGCTTTTCACTTTTTTAGTCCATAAAAAATAAACAAATTTTAATTTGGTCTTGTAATATTTGGATAAGCATATCCAACCTTTAATTTTTAATAGAATATATGTTTTCTGTGAAACTTCGCAAATTATATACTATTACATTATTTGACTACTTATATATTATATTAAGTTTTATTATTACTTCATAATTAAATGTTATAAAGTTTTAAATTAAGCTAAATGTGATATATTTCCTATATAAAGGGGCCAAAAACACACTTTTAGTAATGTGCTTAATCATATATCACAAAAACCATAATTATAATATGCTAATAATATCGGGGAAATATATATGCTAATAACGGAAGGACAAAAGGTGCTATAATCCCTTATAAATATTCATTTTCAAATTAAACCCTTGTAGTGACCGGAAAAAATAAAAAATGAAAAATCACGCTAGAAGGAGGGGTTGAACCTCCGACCTTGTGGTTAACAGCCACACGCTCTAACCGACTGAGCTATTCCAGCTTTTAGTCTCTATAGCATTAGTAATAAATCACTTCAATTATTTTGATTCACTTTTTTAAAGTTCGTATCAGTTTAACATTGTTCTTCAGTACGACTTTTCAAATATTTCTTAAATACTCTTAATCATAAAATTTGACTTTTAGCTTTCTATGTAAAGTTTGAGTATGTAAATATATTTCTTTTAACAATAAAATTTGAGGAATTGTTATTTAAATTTGTACCAAAAATTCAATGTTTTAATCCGCGTTCTACAAATTCCGGCCAATCTTTGTTTCTATTATAGTACAACAACAACAACTCCACAAGTGGAGTTGGGCAGAGGTGAATCCAGGATTTAAAGTTTATGTGTTCCTACATCGACTTTAAATTAATATATTATAATAAGTGGACTAAAGAATTGGGTTCCCAACTATAAATATTCTAATATATTGAATGATTTTTTTAATACAAATACAGGATCTAGCCAAAAGTTACTGGGTTCCCGGAAATCATACTCATACCTTTAGATCCGCCACTGGGTCTAGAGATGGTAATGTATACACAGATATTACTCCTATTGTGGGATAGAGATATTGTTTCCAATAGAAACTCGGCATGATCAAAGATGACTTTGTTTCTACCATTGGAAAACTATTTTTTAGCCAAGAGACATGATAAAAATCTTGCTCTCCTTTTGAGGAGAATTGAAAATATTACTCCTCCACCGAAAAGAACATACCCCACTTATTCACATATTTGTCTGTCACACTTAAGCGGGACTCATTTTCCACATTCATCAGTAAACTCAAATCATTCCCCCCTATTGTCAAACACCTCTCTCTCTTTTCCAGTATCAATGTCATTTACTACAAAAATATTTCCATTTTTTCTTTTATTTCTTCTTATTCATCCACTTCAAGCTGTTCCAAGTATCATTCCACTAAATGGTTCTTGTACTGATAAATGTGGCAGCATTGTCCTAAAATATCCCTTTGGTTCAGGATTTGGTTGTGGACATCCTACATTTTCAAGATTCATAAAATGCACTTCTGGTGTACTTCAGTTTTCAACTGGCACTGGCATTTATACTATATCCACACTAGACTACACAACCAACACACTTATTTTAACAGACCCCTTTATGTCAACATGTTCATCAATGCAAAATTCAGGCAGTTTTACGTTGGATCGGTCGACTCCCTTCAGCATTATGAAAGAAAACATCTTTGTTTTACTAGGATGTTCTACAACATCAGCTGTATTTGATCCAAAACAAGATTTGTGTGATACCGGCTCGGGTTCAAATGTATGTAGAGGACTTTATTCTTGTAAAGGAGTGACAGGAATTGGTTTAGAACTAAATGCTCCTATATCTACATGTTGTGTATATGATCCACCAGTTCCTATTGGTTCAGGTTATGGTTTGAACTTGCCTAGACTTCAGTGTTCTTCTTATTCGTCGATATATGGTTTTGGTGGTGATGAAGGAGATCCTATGAAATGGCAATATGGGATTTCTTTGCAGTATAATAATTCATATTATACTGATGATTCTTGCAAGAACTGTGAGGATAGTGGTGGAATTTGTGGTTTTTCTGGTTCAGATGAGTCTTTTGCTTGCATTTGTAGGAATGGTGTTAACACTACCATTAATTGCTTTGGAAGAGGTTTGTTGATATTTAATGTTGTTTCTTTGGAAGATGGACTTTTTCCTTCATATTCTTCCATCTAGATTACTGTCATGTGGTTTAGTTCGCTTCAGTTATCGTATTCCATGTTATTATTTAGTACTACTTATTCTCAACCCCCTTCCCCTTCCTTTTCTCTTCCTTTTCTTTCCTTTCTCCTCATTCTTCTTGTTGTTCTTCATCTTCTTCTCACCCTTTTTGAGTCGGGTCTATTGGAAACAGCCCCTCTACTTTCACCAGGTAGAGTTAAAGTTTGCGAACACACCATCCGACACCATTTGTGAGAAGATATTGGGCTTGTTGTTGTTCTTATTCTTTGGAAGATACTTAACTTATATCCGCTGGCAGTATAATGAAATTGTTACACGTGCAATTTCACTTGCAGAAAGCTTTGACTGTATAGAAGTTAAACTCTCTAGTCCAAATGCCTAACAGCTAGACTAATAATCTGTTTTGATGTGATCAGGATATGCATGGAGTGGGACATGGAGACACAAAATTCAAACAGAAATGAGTATTGGAGGTAAAAGGCAATGCCTTTTTTCAGTTTCCTTTGTCTAAAGCTTTATACTTTTTGGACAAAAAGTCTTCTTTATTTGAAAACTTTTGTTAATATTGTCATCCTTTTACATTACTGTTTCTGATACCAAATTTCATGAACAGATTTGGAGTGATGAACTATTTCTTTTCTTCTTTTTTTCAGGAATTTTGTTCTTCTGGATGATGCTTTTCATCTAAGGCAGGACTAAAAGTCCATTATTCTATGAAATTCATGTAATACCAAGATTAGGCTAAAATTAGCAGATCAAAAGCCTTGAAATTTGGCCCTGAAATTAGGATGATTGTAGCTTTTTTATATGAATTCCATGGCTGTTGAAGTTGTAACATTCAGTAACATGATATTTCAACAGATCTTTTTTCTTCTTTTTTTTCCTCTCTATTTTTGCCCAAATTTGCTTTTACAAATTCCCTTTGGTGCTACAATTGGCCCAAGCACATAAGATTTTTCCAGTAAGGACTTACACGTTTCAAGTCTTGCTACATTTTATTGTTACTGCTCAACTAATCAAACAAGAACTAGCAATCAAACACAAATAAACGCTGAAGAGGTAAATGTGATTTCCCATGCAGAGCACAATGTTTTCACAGCCTGGTTTCACAATATAGCTACTGGTAAAGAAAATCAGATGTTAAAAGCAAGAATTCTCAGCAGTTTTCATTTTTCTTTGTAACAGTGGTGTCGGGTCAGTTTTCGCACCTTGACTATCTCAGATACCAACTACTCACAAGCACCTAATAACTCTCTCTCTCCTGTTTGGCTAAAATCAACTTATTAAAAATACTTTTTTAAAGTGTTTTTGATAAAAAACAGTAATTAGTGTTTGACAAGTTTTTAAAAACTACTTCTAAATGTATTTTTCTCAAAAGTGTTTCTAAACTACTTCTAAGTGTTTTTGGAGAGAATACTTTTTCGTGCTTCTCCTCAAAATCACTTTCCCTCCCTCTCTGAGGTACAGAAATCACCTAACGTTTTTTGCCTATTTGACTATTGATATGTGATTCAGCAAGTTTCCATAAAGGACTATAAAGTCCAAAAGTTTTGCCTTAAATATGCCAAACGAGAGAAAAAGTCTACAAAACAATCTGAACAAACAAGCCTCCAGAGTAAAATACGGAACTAAGTGCAACAAAATGGAAGAACAAGATACTACTGACCCTTGATGTTCTTTTCAACACTACACACCATCAATTCAAGAAAGGATAGTCTGCTGCAAGTTTCCGCTATGCAGGGGACAGGCGATGGCCAGACCATATTGGTCTTACTGCCTTACCTTGCATTATGCAAGAGGCTGTTTCTGCAGCCTGAACCATGACCTCTGGTCACATAGCGGCAATTTTTATCGTTGCGCCAAGGCTCCCCTTCATCAACTCACGACACGATCAAAAAATTAAAGACCCTTCTCAAGCATTGCCCTAACCCTCATCGGAAGTCCATAAAGCCGAATGAATCCTGCAGCATCAGCTTGATTGTAGATATCCCCACTCTCAAACGATGAGATATCTTGTCTGTACAAGCTATGTGGACTTTGACGACCAGTCACTGAAACTGATCCTTTGTATAGTTTGAGAGTAACTGAACCCGTTGTAGTCTTTGTAATATTCTCCATGAAAGCATCCATTGACTCACGAAGTGGATCAAACCACCTGCCGGCATACACTAACTCAGCATATTTGAGGGCAAGAGAATCTTTGACTTGGATTGTTTCGCGATCAAGTGTAAGAGACTCGAGTTCCTGCACAGCTGTGAAGAGGATAGTTCCCCCAGGAGTTTCATATACTCCACGGCTCTTCATTCCAACAAGCCGATTTTCAACCATGTCTATTCGTCCAATTCCATGTCTCCCGCCAATTTCATTTAGCTCAGAAAGAAGAGTTGCAGGAGACAGCTCCTTCCCATTTACTGAAACAGGAATCCCAGCGACTATCCCAATGTTTACATACCTTCACAGTTGGAAACAGTTTTAAAACTGAGGAAACAAAATGCTTAGATCTTACTACTGCAATTAATGAGGGGAAAAAAATTTCTTACTCAGGTTGATCAGGTGCATCTTGAGGATCAATTGACATCATGTACATATCCTTCATTGGCTCATTTGCAGGGTCCTCCAGAATATCTCCCTTCAATACCATATCAAAATGAGTTTTACGGGTATAATCGGCTATTCACATAGCCTTACTTCAATATTTTTTTACAAAACTTACCTGAACAGGGTTCAATGGGCGATCAAGAATGCCCATGGCCTAGGTTGGTGGGCTCCATTGCACTTTGGAGGGGTGCCCGTCTTAGTTCCGCCCAAGTGGCAGAGCCTACGTCATAATATTTTCTTAATTCTTGATCTTTTAGTTTCTTATTTCCTTGTTTACTAAGGAAATCACTAAAAACTATTAAGAGCAGAGATTCAACTTTTTCGTGATTCATTTACCAATCATGACATTCCTATACATATCCCAATTCAGATTGATACCCCTTTATAGTACTCTGTTTTACATAGTAAATAACTATTTGCTCCCAGGAAGATGAGCTTGTTCGTTTGGTCAAAATTCTTAGTGAAAAGAAAACAGTTGTATTGATACAAAATTCCAAATTTAGACAAGCAGAAAAAGAAAACAGGAAATGGTATTTGATAAAAAAGGAAAGAAGTTCCGAAACTTCGCAACTAAGTCAAGGATAAAGAACAATCAGCATACTAAATGAGTATATCAGAAGCAACATAAGCCCAAAACAAGCTAATATTACCTCATGACTAAGGTGCCACAAGTTTCTGTCTCTGCTATAGATGGATTTCTTTGTCACGGGAACTGGTACGTTGTGCTTCTTAGCATATTCAATAGCGTCCTCTCTTCCTGTAATTTCCCATTCCCTCCATGGGGCAACAACACTGAGCTCAGGATTCAGCGCAAAGAATGTCAGCTCAAAACGGACCTGTAATGGTAAAGAAGCATAATTGTCCCCTGGGCTCAGACAAATAGGTTTTAGACGAAGCTGAAGAATAGTGATCTGATCAATTGACATAGTAAAGTTAAAAAGAAGATCCAGGATAATACCTGATCATTTCCCTTCCCTGTGCATCCATGAGAAACAGCATCAGCTCCGACCTCTCGGGCAACATCAACCATTGCCTGCAATTATCAGCTAAATTTCAGAGTCCAAAACTAATTTAAGGCAATGAGAGCACCGATACTAAAATTTGGACATTTAGATTATCAATTGTTATATCTGATTCATGACTGAAAATTGAGTAGGTTAGTTTGGTGGACCAATATATGACACGAAAAGTTTGCCGCATAGATTATACCTAGTGAAGATGCCCATGCTGGTACTTTACTAGCATGTTCATCTTTCTGGAAATGTAAAAGCTTGACGTACAAAACACATTTAATATGGGGAAATAAAAGAAACTAGTAGCAGTCTAGCAGACATCTAAAGATCACAAGCGGACCAGAAGAAATTTTAATAACCAAACATAAATCGTGAACAAATGAAAACGAGTGCATCAGAATTCCTGCAAATGCAAGTTTTATCATTTCTCATGATCTTTTTATGTACTTAAGAATTTCGTTTGCTGATTTTGTTCTTCCATGAGAAGCTTGTCTGTAAAGACTGGCAAATTCTTCGGCTTCTTTGCGATACGGGTTAATAAATTATTCATTTCGCTGCAGTTCAGGCAATTATATAGAGGAAAGACCAACCTGAACTGCTTTTACGGACAATTTTCCAGAAAATGCTACTGCAAGAGGAGGATCTGAGCAACATAGCTCCCAGGCAAAAAATCTATTGCAAGAGGAGCCAGAAGACAGCCATAGCTTTCTATAATCTTCTGCCAAAAGTAATGTTTCCTCTCATACAGTCAGGTCGCATTCTGAGAGGTGAACCTACCTGAATCCAACCATAGGAAATTCATCTGGGGTGCTGTATACGACTCCTAAGCAAATAATCTACTGCTAGAAAGCCAACAAGCAGCCCCATCTTTCTATAACCTCCAATGTCAAGAAAGGTTAAAGTGACTCATAGGGGTGAGCATTCGGTACTTCGGTACGGTATTTATAAATTACTGTTCGGTACTTCGGTATATCAATTGTGCATACCAAATACCGTACCAAAATAGTTCGGTACGGTTCGGTATTTTCTTGTTTGGTTCGGTTCGGTACGGTTTCGGTATCGTACCAAGTCTTTGTAGACGAAAAAGTAGTGAATTGGTCATGAAATCAAACAAAGTTAGTTGATTGACATTTGATAACTTCTGTTTGATGCAAGAAATTATTGAAGAAAAAGGCAAAGGTTGTTAAGAAATGAATTCAAGCTTAATAGCCCGATTCACCTGAATGCCAATATATCTGTTAAAGAAGATTATAATCTTTCAAGTACATGTTCCATCTTTTTTTATGAAATAAATTGTATTTCATTAACAAGAAGCATCCAGGGGATGCATAGGTTACAAAAGAAGGGAAATATCAGCCCAAATGACAAAAAAAAAAAAAACTATTGTAAGACTAAGGCGCTGATAAATTCCAAATAAGAGTCAGGGTTATATAGAGGTGTAAATTTAACCCAACTAAAAAGATTAACTAAACATTTGGCCTTGAGTGCATGGTTGGCAATTGAAAAGCCATCAAAACATCTATGATTCCTTTCTGTCCATATGCACCACAAAATACAAGCAGGAATCATAGACCATATACTTTTGATGGACTTCCCAACTCTCCAGGCATTCCAACTCAAGAAAGCCTCCCTGACATTGCATGGCATAGTCCAGTGCAGTCCAAAAAGTGGCAAAAACATGTTCCATATACTTGTTGCAACTGGGCAATGAAGAAACAGGTGATTAATTGTATCTGGGTTGCAAAGACACATGTAACATCTGTTAGGTAGTTGAAAATTCCTCCTAATGAGATTATCCTGAGTTAAGCATGCTCCCTTTAAAGTGATCCAGCTAAAGCATGTCACTTTTGGTGGTAATTTTGCTCTCCAGACAAGCTTCCAAGGCCATTGATCAATTAAGTCTTTGTTGGAGCTTAATTGAAGATAACTTGCTTTCACTGAATAAGTGCCTTCCCTGCTATTGCCCCACTTGAGTTTGTCTCTGCTCTGGGTGTTGAAAGAGCTGTTTTGGAGGCTTTCAAGAAGTGCAAATAGGTCCTCAATCTCCCCGTCATTTAGGTCTCTTCTATGGTTCAGTCTCCATGTGTTGTCCTCCTGTTTTGAGCAATAGTAGAATCTGGGTTGGTTGCAACTAGGAATAGTCTTGGAAATGCCTCCTTTAGAGTAGAGTGTCCCAGCCATTTGTCTTTCCAGAATTGAATGAGTGCCCCATTTCCCATCTGAAGAGATGTGTTGCAAGAG